ACCCATCCTCGTGACGGGCAATGACCGGCGCCAGCAATAGCGCGTCAGGAAACAGCGCGTTCGGACGGTGCTTCCTTTGCAGCCACGCAGCACCCCGTGCTCCCGAGCTGGTTTGCTTTGCTCCTAATGAGAAACCTCCAGGTTTTCTCCAGGTTTCTCTCAGTGCTGCGCTTCCGAGCGCTCCAGTCTGCCTTTCAGCTTCCGCACCAGTCCCAGGAGGGTTTTTCCCAGCCTTGGGATACACACTAAGAGCACACAGCGTAGCTGCGCTTGCTGCAGTCGCTGCCCAATGGTTTTACTTTCAAATTCCTATTTTGTTTGGTTTCCGCTGGGACCCGGGTGGGGAGCGTGGAGCTGGGCACGACTCTTCGCAGCCCGGCTGCTCCTTTAGTTTTCCAACCGAGTGAGAAGAGAGGTTGGATGTTGCGGGGGAGGAAAACAGGGAAACAACTCGCAATTCCTTGCACCCTTCACCCGAAGCCTGATAGCAAGGTCACGGACAGAGAGGGGGCTGTGGGCTGAACCTGGGAGAGGCTGGATCCCCCACGCCTCCCTGCCGCCGGGATTGGGGGGCAGAGCTCAGCGTTGGCCATTGTGTCTGCAGGCCCAACAAGCCAAATTCCTCAGCGATGCGGAGAACGAGCTGGAGGAGCTGGCAGTCACCATTGCGCAGGCCAAGAAGATGGTGGAGCTCATTAAGGTGACTCTGTGATGGCTTCGCTCCATTAGCGCAGCTCTGCTGGGCCGGGGGGGCGGAGGTGAAGGGGCCGTGAGCTTTTGGGGAACGTGGGGTGTAGAGGTGGTGCTCGCAGGGGAGCAAGCGCTCCGTAAAACCATGGTGACCCTGGCAAGGATCCCTGAGGGTTCTTGCTCCTCATCTCTGCTAACTCACAGCATCTCTGGTGGCTTTCGTTTGCAACCTGGAAGGAGGTATGGGGTGAGGATGGTGCCAGGGCATCCGCTGGCTCTTGCACCTTCTCTCCCCAGGCTCAGGGGGGTCTTGGTCCCCTCTGGCCCTTGTGCAAGCACGTCACTTCACTGCCTGGGACACGAGATGTGGTGGAGCAGTAAGCGGCTGTGCCCAGCCAGGTCCCTTGACACCTGGTTTGTAAAGTGCTCTGAGCTCTTGGGTGAAGGGGGTTATGGAGTGTTGGGGGACCCCACAGAGCTGAGAACTGGGTGCTGGGCAGGGGACAAGGCTGCTGTCCCACACCGTTGCCTGTGGGAGGTGACCCCGACCTCTCTCTCCCTGCGCTCAGGGTGCTG